TCGGAAGCCACGTGAGGAATGGATTTAGCCCAAAAATTGATCGAGCAATCATGGTTGTGAAGATGGATTCGTTGGCGACTTATAGGAAGAAGCGGAACTCAATTTAGAGCTCGGACGAGCCCGAACGGGCTCAAACAGCAAAGTCGCGCAAATCACGTTTTTTGTGTGCATGTCATAAGCTTTGGGAGGACAGGTTTTCAAGAAAATATTTGATGGTTTTGCATAGTTAGATAGAGAGGTTCGTTAGCGACGCGTAGAAAAAAATGGAACTCAATTCCGAGTTCAAACGAACCCGAACGAGCAAAAATCGTAAAGTCGTGCAGTGCAGCCCAGTTTTCTTCGCCGCGGCCGCGACCCATTTCTTCACCGCGGCCGCGGCGAACAAAAAACTGACAGCGCCCAACCTTCTGCGGAAAAATGTCGCGGCCTCGGGAATAGTCGCGGCCGCGGAGCTGTTGTTCACCGCGGCCAGCGGGAAGCTCCGCGGCCGCGGAGGACGCGAAAAACAGTTATTTAAATAGCAGATTTCTTAGACGATAGGGGGATTATTCTCTCCCCTTCATGGAGATGAACCCTAGCCCGTAGAAAGCACAAAAATCTCCTCTCATTCCTTCTCTTTTCTTCATCTTTCCTTCTTATTTTCTTCTTTACTTTTCATTTTTTCTTCTTTTCTTTCTCTTCATCAACTTATTGGAATAAGCTTGTACTTCATATTCGACACTTGAATTGAGATTTATTGTAAGTATTTCTCTCATATTTAATTCATGAAAAATGATTGATTTGGGAAAAATGCTTGTTTGTGTTGGATTTGTTATGAATAGCTAATTCCAATTGCTAGGGATAGGAGATGATTGTTCTTGTTTAATTCGTATCTCTCGGGCTTGAATTGTTCATTCTTGTGTGGGTTAATTTGATTAAGAATTGATGTAATCCTGCTTGACTGATTGATATAATCGAAGGGTGACACTTCGATCTTGCAATTGGTAACAATTGAATGTTGATTAGTTGAGTTAGGGTTTTGTTGATTCTATGTGATTAGTCGGTTAATACTCTTCTAATTGAATTAGCGACTTTTTGAACCGAAAGGGGAGAAGTCGTAGACTTAGGCTCACATTAGGTAGAAGATGTCGTAATTGACTAATCTACGTGTTTTAGATTGAAATACGCACTTGTCAATGACCCGTCTCTTGTTAGGAAAAGTTATTGGGATTGGGATAATTGGCCTGTGTCGTATGCTTAAACTTGTTCGTCCATGTTCAATCCCTTATTACGAAGAGTTATTGGGAGCGAACCGCTAGATGTCTAAGCGAGAGTGTCAATCTTAAACCGAACAATTGATTGCCCGATTTTGCTAGAACTTGAATTAATTATCCCCGATTCCCTAGCTTCTTTTTTCATTGTTTCGTTTATCTTATTAGGAAGATTATTGTTTTTATTTTATTTCTTAGCTGATAATTCATCCAACCCCTATTTTATTAGAATGTTTAGGATTTATTTGGCTTTTATGTGTTGTTAATACCAAAGCTGAATTCCGAACAGCCTTCCTCGTGAGATCGACCCGGGGAACGAATCTTTTGATTCAGTACTCGGTAAAAAGAATAATTTGTGCTACAACAGGTGCGGTT